ATGGCTGAGTAGTACTCCATTTTATTAAAAAACCACATTTTCTTTATCCAGTCTCCAGTTGATGGGCATTTGGGCTGTTTCCAAGTCTTAGCTATTACAAACTGTGCTGCTATGAACATGGGTGCACATATATCACTGTGGTATGATTCTTTTAATTCTTACAATGTTATTTTTTGACATTGGACTATGATTGCTCCTTGTTCACATTTCAGCCACTAGAGTTTTAAAAACAATTTTTTAAGTTCTTGGAATCTAATGTCTTTAGATATCCTGATAAATATTTTTAAAATTATAGCTTTTAAAGCAATAATATTAATTTTACCTTATATTTCTAGGCTGCTATCAGAACATTTGATAGAAATAGTTATTTGTTTTAAGTATAATGAAATAAAGTAATTTTCCTGTTTTTAATTTAATTTTGGCAAGATTTTGAAAAGTACTTAGGAAATGTAGTATGAGATCATTACCAGTTCTTTTGGAAGTGTATCTCTTATTTTTAGTTATGTGATGCTGCTTATATCTATTTTAACAGCTTGTTAGTCCAAGGAAGTACTATTTTAAACCTAGTATTCTCAAGTAACAAAGAGGGTCCCGGCCCCTCCATTTTGCAGGGAGCAGATTTCCTGTTTGTAGTTGTCCTGCTTAGCCTCTGGCTTCATCTCTTCCTGTCTGCTTCTTCGAGCTCATTCTGAACTTGGCTTGTTCTTTGCCCCTGTATAGTTCATGCTCGCTCCTCACCCAGAGCATTCCCATTCCTCTTCGTTTCCTTTACAGCGATGTGTGGTTTCCAAGAGCTTATTAGAAATACAAATTCTCAAGCTTCTCCGCAGACCTACTGAATCAGGCAGGTTTGGAAGTAGTAGCAGCAGCCTGTCTTCAGAGCACTGCAGCAGATCCCGGCAGGAATCCCAGTTTGAGGACAGCTGCTCTGGGGAGGATCTGTCCCATCTCAATCTGTGCACATCCTGTGAGCCGTCAGATGCCCTCCGCAATGCCCATCTTTTCTAACATAGCCCACACCACTGATGGCCTCTGTTTCTGTAATCATAAACACATAGTAGCTCTGTCACTCATTTCAGCCATCATTCATAGACTGCTTTGTACCTAACACATCAGTATAGTGGTAACTCAGTAAACACTTAACCAACCCGGAATAAATTTGCAAAACTAGTCAGAAGCACAGCTAGTAACATACTTCACTTCAGTAGACTTTACAGATGCAACAGTTAGATGCAGTAAAAAAGCACTTCTGTGTTATGAGGTAGGCTCAGGTGCTGGGCTTGGGGGTAGTGAGAATATTCACAAGCTTTTTGAGGCATTTTGTGTATAATGAGACCTGCAGAAGTAGCTACCATTTATTAAGCACATACTATACACCAGCACTGTGTGCTTTATAAACTAAGTGCTATTATTTGCCTCATTTTGACAGTGAGAAAAGGAAGACTAGAGAACTTCAGAAAGTTGCTTAAGATCAGAGTTAACTCTTAAGTGGCTGATCCAGGTGTCCAGCATAGGCCTGTCTAACCCAAGTCTCACCTCTTTCCCTCTGTGTTACAGTGCCTTTTGTTGGTGTTTCTGTATTTCATGCCAATTGTTAGTTACTGAAGCTAGAGAAAATTGTATTCAATTATAGTAAAAATTTACTAAGTTAAAATAATTCCAAAAAACAAGAGTCAAATTACTCATCCAAGTAGCAAATTGAATTGACTCATGTTTATGTCTAAGGAAATGATCATCAAATAAATTATGAATTTTTCTGTTTTGTGTATTTTGAGTAGGATACAAAAATATAAGAGCACTTAGATTTTAGTTGGGAATACAAAGCATGAGAAGTAAAAACATTAAAAATGTAAACAATCTGCCAAAATAGCGATAGAAGAGTTGATACAAAGTAGTATATTATTTATTCCCAAATTAATTACTCAGACAGCTTTTCTTTATAAAGCTTCCAAATTAGTCAAGAACCTAACTGGTCTGTTCAGGAAAACTGTACATAAAAAGTAAGATTTGAACCAGGTCTTGAGAAAGGAGGAAGGACAGGAGGAATTTTAGAAAGGAGTAAAAAGATGAATATGCAAAAGGCCTTTTTTGCAGGAAAATGAGTCATATGCTTGTCCAAAACAGGATTCAGAAAGTTGAGAAGTTGAAGCTAAGACTGAAAAGGTAGTTTAAGTCCTGCAGTATTTTAGGATTCTTGATTGCAAATTGCAGGAACCCAGCCTGAATTGGCTTGAATGGGGGAGGATGCACAGATGGGCAGGGGTAGCTCAAAGGAATGGAAGAAGCCAGCCCTGCCCAGTGGCTCCTGGCGCCTAGGAGACTGGAGCAGAGCCTCGGACCCTGCCCGAGCCTCTCTCCCCATCTCCCTCTCTGAAGCAGCTGCGCTTCCTTCACCATCTTTCTTTAGGAGCTAAAGCCACAGGGGCTCTCTTCCCTCAGTTGCAGTTTGCAGAAGACACGGGATGTGGGCCCTAATGGAGATCACTGGGAGACAGGCACCTTCAGGGGGCCAGACCCTCCATGGCCCTGCACTCTGGGGGCGTTGAACTTGGTCTTTATCTAGGTGAAAATCAGGGTTAAGACAGTAAATAAGCATAATGTAATTGGTTTTTCTGCCAATTTAGTGGGATAGTGATTTTTAGGATATCCTTTCTTTATTGAAAATCATTAAAGTCTCTTTATTATAATTGTTTTCATTTCTCATAGTGCTCTTTACACTAATTAAAAGTTAACAATATTCAAATGATATTTTTGGAGCACAAACCCCGAATTCAGTATTGTGTGATAAATTGGAAGTTATTGTGCATATATGTTTGTAATCTAAGTAAAAGTGATATTACTGTTCTTCATATTTATTGAGAGGAACAATTTATTGACAGAGAAAAAGCACAGATATATTGTAGGAAATACTGTGTTTTAGAAGCTTGTCCTTTAAAAAAATTAAAGTAATACATGCACACAGTTAAAAACAAGTGCAGAAGAGCTCATAATGACAGTCAGCAGGTCCCTGCTTTCCAGCCTCATCTGCAGAAGCAGCTATTTCTGCTTTTGGGTTTTCTGGTGGTTAATTCCATCTAAGTCTCTTGCTTTACCAAATGCTTCCCTAATGAAAGGATGAGGATTTAAGAAACTTGCATTTTACATTCATTGCTCATTAGAAATTGCCTGATATAAAGATAAAATTTTAATTTTAATAGTACTTTATTTATAATAGGGCTCCAGTGGTCCAGAATCTTTTACTGTCTACCACTACAATGGACTGAAGCAATCAAATTATAATGAAAAGGTATGATAATTCACATAGTAACTTGTCTTCAACTGGATTGATGAAATAAATACATGAGTATCTAACAGTGACCCATTCTCATACAGTTGCTACCCAAGACTATTCCAAGCCTCTCTTTGCTATCACAACTTTTTCTTTTTTGGTTCCAGGGATCAAACTCAGGACCTTGCACTTGCAAGGCAAGCACGGTGCCACTGAGCTAAATCCCCGACCCCACAACATATTTTTGAATTGGTTATGTTTCATTTTGAGCACTAGAGGATACTCTACATTGAAGGTTTTCATTGGACTTTGGGCCAGTAAATTCACTGTGACAAAATAATTGCATCTACATTCACGTTGTTACTCTTGGCCATGCATGTGTCTATAAATCAACATTTATGGTTAGTCCAATGGAAGCTGATACTGATATACTTAGGTACAGAAAAGGTAATGGAGATGTCTGATTGAGAATAATATTTTAAAGAATTAGAGTAAGAGTAGTGAGGATTTATTGAGGATTTACTTGGAATTGTGTTTGTTTTGTCCTAATAGCACACGATACTATGAAGTAAATATCCCTGTATATCCCCATTTTACAGAGGAAGGAAGCAGCCCGGAAGCAGCAAAGCTGGGATTGAAACAAGAAGCCTGGCTCAGAGCCTGTATTTTTACCCAGCTGTTATTTTCCCTTGTACATCAAAGACACCTAAGTGACTCATTTCCAAATGTACCTGCCTCATTTAAAGCAGAAGCTTTGTCTCACCTTGTCACTGTTTCTGGGTGAAATACCAGCCTTGTGTATATATGCGATGTGCTTGTTTGCATCTATTCAAGTAACAATGTTCATATAGCTAATATTAGAAGGAATGATACCTAATATTTTTTAAAATTTGATTTATACTGCTGGTTTCATAAGTATCTAAATTGAAGGATGCTTGCAGAAAATAGATTATAATTTAAATTAAACATATACTTTTCATTAAACCAAATTGAAAAGACTAAAATTTCCTTTGATTTTTTTCATAGCAAAATATAAATGAGAAGTACTATTATATCCAAAATCTTTTCACAAAAATGTAATTTATTGATAAATATAGCAGAGAATAAAAATTGTCAACAAGAAAATTTGGATGCTATTAATGTGTATTAATGAGAGCTTTATGTAGACTATGAAGTTTCACATAGCTTTGTAATAGGTACTTTATAGTCACTAACTCGTTATTCACTGACACAATCTCTGCAAGGTAGCCAGTCAAATATTACCCATATTTTACAGATGAGGCATCTGAGACAGGGAGATTAAGTGACTTGCCCAGGGTCGCACAGCAAGTCCTTGGCAGAGCAGGGATTGGAACTGAGTTCCTGACTGCCAATCCTGTCCTTGGTCTGCTTGGCCACACTGCCTGTCTCTAGTAAGTTTTCAAATCATGCCTGTGACAAGCATCTGCCATACTAACCAAAAGATCAGAAATCAAGAGACAGGAGTACAGAGTAACAATAAAGCAAAGCATGTATGTCATTAAGTTGCAGAAACAATGTTATGAAGTTACTCGGGAGCCAGAAATGTGATAAGTGCACAGTAGGGTACTATTTAAGACACCTACGGACACAGATGGATGAGGACCACTGAGCCTGCCCCGAGAGGAGGTCACCATGCTGTGCCCAGCCACTTCTGTCTCACACTGGGCACAGTGGAAGGTTTTTTCAAAAAAAGTAGGCCCTATCTTATTTGTCCAGTGTGAAAACTTGAGTTCTATGCCTTGCAGAAAACATTTCAGGAAAAGGCACTTTGGGTTTGGGGAATTGAAAAGTGAGAGTTGTAGTTTGAATAGTAAATTTATTTCATCAACACTAGCCAAAATAAAGATGCAAAAAAAATGAATTTTACATTCAACAATGTCTTTAGACCTTCTTAAAGATGAGATTTATGAAACCAAATCATCTGACATAGTAATACACTCTACTTCTACCATCTTTGTTTTAAGGAAACCCTTATTTAAGGCTGGTAGAGTTATTTCTTTCGCCTACTTGGTCAAGTAGTTTATGGCTTCTGCATTGGAAGAACATAATCAAAATCACGTGTCAGCCATTGAATGTGAAAAAGTAATTATGCATTGTAAGGAGATAAACTCTGTCTGTTCCTTTTAAATTATAGTTAGTTTCTCTTGGTACTAAAAGAAACGAATGACAGAGTACTTCCATGTATATAGTGAACCCTTGTTAAGGAGTTAGGGTTTGGTTTGGTTTGGTATATTATGTCTTAAGTACTTTATTTTCTCTTAAAGAAATCAGAATAAATTTTTTCTGGTGTCTGCCAGTTTACATGTTATGTCATCATTGCCCCAACTTAGCTAATGTTGATTAATTTGATCCTTCACCCTCTTGTTTTTTGCTTCTGTCTTGACATCCCTTTTTTTTCTTTCATAATTTTTCATGCAGTACAAAGTACACTCATGAACTGCATTTCAGAAATACTGAATACAATAATAGCAAATGTCATTGACAAACATGCCAATTGTCTTCAGCTCCAGAAATTCAATCTTTAAATTGAAAGAAGAAAAATAAAACCCTCGTTAGAATGTGTAAAATAATTATTGTATTTCTGTTTTAACTGTGGATTTCCATTTCATGAGATAGCATTCATGTCCAAGTGCCTCAGTGTTAGAGTGCTAGAAACTACATAAATGTGATATGTAAATTTCAGTTTAAAATTTCCTCTAAATAGCATATATCATTTGAAAAGTAATTTTTCTCTTATCTGAAACTATATGTGTTTTGTGACTCACATAGACTTTTTAAAAAATCCTGTTGAACTGTAAAAATCACGTGGTCATCTAGCAATTAAAATTTGTCACCATCTCATTCATGAAATTTCTTTCATGTTAGTAGCAGATATTCTTGCTCATAATTTCTGTCAAAACAAAATTAGAAATGAAGTTCCACTGGCATGCAATAACTCATTTGACAGCCTTTAAAAAGTGTGTCTCACATAAGAATTTGCTGGAAATATTGCTTGACCTTGGTGCCTTTGTTCCCCAACAGGTAATGTATGTAGAAGGAACTGCAGTTATTATGGGTTTTGAAGAACCGAGGCTGCAGACAGATGACACTCCTATCAAAGGCTGTCTCCAAACCAAGTGGCCATACATTGAACTGCTCTGGTCCACAGATCGCTCACCTTCCCTGAACTGATTTGCCTAAGTATTTATAAGCTCGTAATAACAGATGTGCAAAGAGAGATTTGTGACTGGCACATGGCTACATTAAGCTAAACGGTGGTCTCCTCATTGATTAACTGTAAATATAACTAAAAACACATTTTTTAGTGTTTAAGATATGTTTAAATTATTTGTTTTAAAGCTTTATGTTAAAGGTTATACTATTTTAGCACGTGATGTGACTTTTACTAGCAAAATTAACCTTTCATCGAAGTCCATCACTTGTAGTCAGATAATTTGGTCATTGACTTATCAAATACTTACTTATAAACACCAAAATACTGTAGCATTTTTATAATAAATATCAGAATCACCATTTTTCAACCTTTACTTTTGGGTTTTATTTCATTTGGGCGTATTTGTTGTTTGAATAATTCTGGCTTATATCAGCTCCATACTGAAGCGCAGAAGAATTAATTTTATTTTTTTTTCTAAATTCTGTTTTTCATTAGAAATATTGATAAATAACAAATTATCAGCCCAGATCCTTTGAAAATTGGCTTGACTCTGGCATGTTTACAAAATGTAGAAACTATATGGAAACTTCCCATTTATTCACAGGTGTGTGGGGGTGTATCTATTTCTTAAATGATAGAAACAAGAATCTGTTTGATAGTCTTGACACTGTTAACTTTCACTGTGTATTGCCAAATACACTTTTCCAAATTTGTTTCAAAGCCCCATAAGCCAGCTTTCTTGTATATTTATAAATGTGATGAATGCATGAGAACATCTGTTATTACATTAGTATACTGCATTATTTATTATGGTCCTAATTGATAGCATAAATAAAAACTTTTTTCTTTAACTCTGTCCTTGCATTTTTACATTAGTTGTTCAAAATAAACACTTTTAAATATTCTGCCTGGGACCCCGAGAATACAGTGTACAAAAAGTTCCTAATGGACTCCAAGGACCTTGACAAAAAAAAACAATGCTTGCCTAAAAGCTTTGCCAACTCCCATAGCCAGAAGCACCAGAGCCTGGTGGCAGCTGGTGGCAGAGAGAAAGATCCAGAAGCCCCGTCGGACTTCCTCTAGAGTGATACTTGCTTTATCCCAATAGGTTTGCTGCCCAGCAATTTAAAATCTGAGTAACCAGAAATACTTTCTTCCCTTCACTTGAGAAGAGACAGTTATTTAATATTCTCATTTACGCTTCATAACTGAACTTTATCTTCACCAATATATTTCCTCTGTGACTCTCTGTTTGAGGTTTTATTTAAGTGGATTTTAGCACAGGAGAAAAGTGCCATGAGATTTATGTCTAACTTTTGATGACATTTTGTTCCAGGAATATACTACTGGCTGTAAATGATACTTTTTGGCCTACCTTGGCTGCTTTCAAATGTCTATAATGTACATTATGCTAGAATTAATTTCTCTAGTACCAGTTGGTACTGGAAACACAACATAGCAGAATTGATGCAAGAAAAAAATTTCCTGTATTTGTTAAAGAAATGTAGTCAATAATTAAGAATCTTCCCTCCAAGAAAACCATCCTACCTAACCTCACTGGCAATGTTTCCAAACACATCAGGGGAAAAAAAATACCAATTCTAAACAAATACTACCAGGAAATAGAGAAAACTTAACTTCACAATTCATTTTATGAATTCAGAATGACCCTAATACAATACTGAAACCTGACAGACAAGAAAGATTATTTCTGGTCCAGGGATGTAGCTCAGTGGTGTCGTGTCTGCCTGGTAACCACAAGGTCCTGAGTTCGATCCCAGGTTCCACAAAAAAAGATAGAAAGATTATTTCCCATGATCATGGACACGAGTTCCTACACAAATATGAAATACATGAATTAATTATACATATTTATGTGTGTTTTCACATTAAAAATATAAAGAAAAATATCTCAACAATGAAGAAAAATAATTTGAAAACTTTTCATGATTTTAAGAAATTTAATAAAAATGGAAACTTTTTAAATGTAATAAAGGCTGTTTACAAACAAAATTCTTAATGGTACAATATTAAGTGCTTTCTCAAATTCAGGAGTAGGACAGATATGAGCTTTCATTTCTGAACAGCATTCTCTCCCAGAGATCCTAGCCAGTGCAGTAAGAAGAACAGTCTGAAGTAATTGGAAAGAAAAAAGTTAAAATGTCACTCATAGGTAACAATTCATAAATAATATACTTGTACAAAAGACTGCATAAACATTTAGAATTCTTAAGTGAATTCAGTCAATTTCTGCATACAGGTCAACGTTTAAAAACAATTTAGCAGACAAAAAAACAGACAAGAATAACTTTTTAAAACTCACTGTCAGTAACATCAAAAACACTAAATACCCAAAAATAAATCCAATGAAAGATTTGCACATTTCTATACTGAAAAATAGAAAGCATTGCTAAAGGATGAGGCAATAGGTAACTGGAGGAATATGCCACCTTTATAGAATTATAGTCAGTTCTTCCCACATTAAAATTTAATTCAGTGTGGGCTGGGGATGTAGCTCAGTGGCGCCACACCTGCCTGGCAAGTGCAAGATCTTGAGTTGGATCCTGGTTCTGCAAAAAAAAAAATTAGTGAAATCCTAATTAAAGTCTCTCATCGAGTTTCTTTTTTAATTTGTGGATTTAATAAACTGATTCTTCAACTTATACATGAAAGGGGTCAAAAGTAGCTAAGATAACCTTGAAGTGGAAAAACAAATTTGGAGAATCCAATGTGTCTTCAATGTATTTTATAAAGCTATAATAATTAAATGCAGCATCGGTACAAGGAAGAACACATAAACCAACAGAACAAAACACAAGTTGAATATCCCTTATCTAAAATGATTGACACCAGAAGTGTTTCAGTTTTGTTTTATTTTTGAATATTTGCATACAATAATGAGATATGTTGGGGATGAAACCCAACTCAACACAAAATCCATTTATGTTTCATATATACTTCATAGACACAGCCAAAGGAAATTTTATACAATTTTTTTCAGTACTAATTTAACCCAGGGCCTTTGCACTGAGCTATAGCCCCAACTCATATGTTTTTTTGTTTGTTTTTCTGTTTATTGGTTTTTTTGCAAGAGGTTCTCACTAAAATGCAGAGTTGCCCAGGCTAGGTTGGAACTTGTGATCCTCCAGCCTCAGCTTCCCAGAGTGCTTGGATTACAGGTGTGCACCACCATGCCTGTGTGTATCAAATATTTTTTTATAATTTTGTGCATGAAAGTTTCATGGTGTGCAGCTTTTCACATGTGGCATCATGGTGGTGTTCAAAACAATTTGGATTTTGGAGCATTTTGGATTTCAGATTTTCGGATTAGAGATGTTCAACCTGTACATTAGAAACAGACTCACAAACACATCTGACTCTCAATAGAGGCTGTACAGCAGTTATCTGACATGCTCAGACCACAGCCCAGGGACTACATGTGAACCCAGACAGCTTGTAATGCAGGTCGCAAGATGGTAAACTGTTAACATTACTGTGATTTTTTTGCTTATGAGAATTTTGCAGTGCTTAGGGGCCCACTATGCAGGTGACGAGGAGCACTGGGTAGGGCAGGGCACCTGTCAGCCACCTCCACCTCCCACGCCTGCCACACACAGTCTGATCAAAACCTTTGTGTGTATCATTAAAAGCTCAAAAAGATTCACCATCACTAAGCTAGTCAATAAGTGGTGTTTATGAGTATTTTTTAAAATAGACCTTAAGCCCTACTTCATTTTATACACAAAAATTGAAATGGTCAGTATACCTAATGTGAAATATAAAACTAAAGCTTTCTAGAAGTGAATGCAGGGCAATATTTTTGTGACTTTGTAGTCAAGAATTTCTTTAAAAAGAAAGAAAATTTAATCAAGAAAGATTGATAAATTGGACCTTATTAAGGACTTCTGTTCATGACAATACTGAGAGTACAAATGCAACACCAGAAAAAGATATCTGCATTAAATATGTGTGTGTATTAAAAGTACTTTCCCCAGAACATATAAAGAACTCTTAGGGGCCAGGGATTTAGCTCAGTGTTTCCGGCGCCTGCCTCGCAAGCGCAAGGACCCGAGTTCAATCCCCGGTAACCCCCGCAAAAGAAACATATAAAGAACTCCTACCAATCAAAGAAAAAGATAACTAAATTTTTTAATGGGCCAGAGGATTGAATCTGCCCTCACACCTGCCCCCGACTTCTCCTTAAATCATGGAGGTCACATGGAATCAAGTGAGCGTCACCCATACCTGCAAAAATCCAACAGCTTTGTATAACATACCGTGACCACAGGACAAGGACTGATGGCACCTCTCACCGCCTGTTCCCAAATATCCAATCTCTGTTACATATCAAAACCACATAACTCAACAACAGCAAAAAAAGGAAAACTACAGACCAATCTCCTTAACGAACATAGATGCAAAAATCCTCAAGATTCTTGCAAACAAAATTTAACAACCTATCAAGTAAAAACCATAAACCATGACCAAGTTGGTTTCTGTCTAGGGATGGTTTTACATGCCGAAATCAAAAAATGTAATAAACCACATAGAATCAAGGATAAAAATTTCATGATCATCCTAATAAATGCAGAAAAAGCCTTTGATAAAATTCAACATCTTTTCATGATAAGAACCCTGATGAAAGTAAGTATAAAAGGACTACCTCAAACTGATGAAACTTTATATGAAATCAAAAAAGACCCAGAATAGCCAAAGCCATCCTGAGCAAAAAGAGCAATGCTAAAAGCAATACTGGATTTCAAGTTATACTACAAAGGCATAGTAACATAAACAACATGGCACTGACACAAAACAGGTCATTGAAATAAAACAGAACAAACCCATGCATCTACATCCATCTGGTGTTTTGTTTGTTTTGTTTTGTTTACAAAGGGGCCAAAATAATATGCAGCAGAAAAGACACCCTCTTTAACAAAGGGCGCAGGGAAAACTGGATATCTACAGGCAGAAGAGTCAACTAGATCTCTATCTCTCACTCTGTATTAAAAGCAAATTAAAATGGATCAAAGACCTCCACATAAAACCAAAAACTACAAAACTGCTAGAAGATAATGTAGGGGAAACACTTGAAGCCATAGGCACAGACAGACTGCCTGGATAGGAGTCCAAAAGCAAGGGAATTCAATTGAGAATCAACAGAGAGTATTACATCAAATTAAAACGCTTTCCTTTGCACAGCAAAGAAAAACTTAGAGTGAAAGTCCAACCTACTGAGTGAGAGAGAATCTTTAGTATGCTTCCAATAGATTAATATCTAGAATAAATATATAAAGAACTCAAAAAACGTTAACCTCCCCAAAACAAACCCGTCAGAATATGGGCAAATGAACTGAATAGGCACTTTTCCGAAGAAAGGCAAATGTCCAATAAGAATATGAAAAAGTGTTCAACATTCTTATCCAATAGGAAAATTCAAATCAAAATACTTAATGATTCCATCTCATCCCAATCAGAATGGCTGTCATCAAGAATACAAGAAACAATGAATCCCGGGCAAAGATGTGAGGAGGCTGGGTGGAAGGTTGCTGGTGGGAATGTGAACTAGTGCAAACAATAGGGAAATCAGTATGGAGACCTCTCAAGAAACTGCAACTAGAAATGCCATTTGATCCAGCTGTACTTCTGAGTATATTCCCAAAGGAATGAAAGGCAACATAACTATTCTGACACATACACACACATATTTATAGTGACACAGTTCACCATAGCTAAGCTATTGAAACAGCTTAGATGGCTGTAAAAAGATGAATGAATAAATAAAATGTTGTATACATACACAGTGGAATATTATTCAGCCATAATAAAGAATAAAACCATGTTATTCACAGGA